CCAGAGAAAGAACTGGTGGGAGTCAGGGCACTCCTCTAGGTGTTGACAATGAAAGCATCAGTCCTTGAAGCTTCTGCCTAGAAGGAAAACCACTGAACATTTCTCTGAACATGCTCTTAAATCACAGACTCATAGATTGGAAGCTGAGAGGACCTTGGAGATCAACTAATTCAAAGCCCTTATTTTACAGATGAATTGAGGGAAGGAAAGTGACCTGTCCAAAGTCACACAAGTAACCAGCAGCAGAGCCAGGGCCTCTGACCCAAAACCAAGTGTTGATTTGTTTTTCTTACAACCTCCAGCTTACCTGTGAGGCCTCAGAAAAACAGCCAAAATGGCGGCCTTCAGTGAGGTTTGAGAGGCCTTGCCATGAAAAATGGCCAAACCTTTCCAGGTGTGGATTAGACTCCCAAAACATGGGTCTTTGAGATTTTGCATGCTTTCTTTTTTTTCACTGTCTCACTCCTGTGATACTGAGATCACCCTAGGCTGGTTCACTGTTAAATGTCTCTGGCTTCCAGTAACAACCCACAAACAGGTTTTGTGTGTGAGTTCTGAACATTCTGGAAATTCCTGGATTTAATGAAGGTCAGTACACATCAATGAATCAATTACTATATCCCTCACCTGCTATGGATGATCACAGAAAACTATGGCTCCGGCTTTGAAGCTGTTTCATCTCTTGATTCTTTGAATCATTAGCCACCGAAGAGGCTGGGGGGACAGGAGCATTGACTGGATTTGGAGGCCAAGGACTCAAATCTCAATCCTCTGACACCTCAGAGCCAGTGTCTGCCACACAGGAAGTGTTTACTAAATACTTATGGATTGACTGATTTATGCTCTCTGAGCTCAGTTTCCTAAAAAGTTATGGGATTAGATGAGATGACCTTGAGGGCCTTTCTAGTTCTCAATCTATGGCTCTATTCCTGCCATCAATTCAGCTCCCTTGAAACGGATCAGCTTATCAGGGCCTTCCTAATGCTAAGAATGAGATTCCAAACCATCCAAGTTGATTTGGTCACTGAGGTTCAATCTACTCTAAATCCAAAAGGTTGATCAATAATTTATTTATGATTAGTTGGTCTGATGGGTTATAAAACTATGGCCATAAATAAACTTTTTGAAAAGTTAAAGATTTTATATAGTACAATAAATGCCAGCTATAATGACAATAAAGAGAAATTGATAAAATAAGCATAAGCAAAGGGGAAACAAGAATATCACTTTGGCAGGTAATGATTTATTTTTAAAAAATCTAAAAAGACAACCTTATAAACAGTAACTTCAGAAACAAACAGTAAGTTTGGCAAGCTTATAGAATATAAAATAAACCTCCACAAATTCTCAGCACATTATCCAGCTGGAAGAGAAATTCAATTTAAAATACTACATAAGGCATAAAATACTTGGGAATCCTGTCTACCAAGCCACACACAAGAATTATATAAATATAGGTATAAACATACTCTACACAAAGACAGATGTAAGTAATTGAAGATGTAATAATTGATCATGGTTAGGTCAAGTCAATATAATAAAAATGACAATCCTAACCTAAATTACCCTACTTATTCTGTGCAATGCCAACCAAAGAATTATTTTATAGAATTAGAAAAATGATTTTACAATTCATACGGAGGAACAGTTAAGAATCTTAAGGGAAAAAGAATGGGGGGGGGGAGCAACGTACCAGATATCAACTATAATACAAAGCATTAATCATCAAAATGATTTGATATGGGATAATAAACAGGTTGATCAGTGGAACAGATTAGTTACACAGCAAGCAGAAGGAAATAATCAATGTCCCTTAGTGTTCAATAAACTCCAAGATCCAGTTACTGGGATAAGGACAACTGGAATTCTAGGAAAACCAAAACACAATCTAGCATAGTAAATCAATACTTCACACTATATACCAGATAAATGTCAAATGGATGCTGAAAAAAAACATACATGCATGCATACATACATACATGTATACATATTATATGTATATATGTGTGATATCATAAGTAAATTAGAAAAGCAAGGAAAACATTATCTTTCAGATAAAATAAACCCATACAAATCCTCAGCACGAAACCCATCAGGAAGAGAAATTCAATTTAAAATAACTGCATAAAGCATTAGGAGTCTACCAATCCAAACACAGGGAAGAGTTCATGACCAAACAAGAGATAAGATCATAAAAGATAAAATAGACAATTTTTATTACCAATTTTTAAATTGCACAAATAAAAGTAATGCATCTAAAATTAGAAGGAAGACAGGAACCTGGGGGAAAAAAATCTTTGTAGCAAGTTTCTCTGATAAATATCTCATTCCCAAGATATATATAAAGAACTGAATCAAAGGTATTAGAGCAAGAAGCACTCCTCAAATGGCAAATGGTCAAAAGGGTATGAACAGTCAGTCTTCTAAGGTAGAAATTTAAGCTATCAGTAGCCATGGGGAAAAATGCTCCAAATGATTAGAGAAACTCAAATTAAATCAACTTTGAGGTTCCACCCCATACCCATCAGGTTGGAAAAAGATGACAAAAATGGAAAATGACAATTGTTGGAGGGGCTATGGGAAATCAAACATGTTGCTGCTCTGTTGATGGAGCTGTAAATCGGTCCATTCACTTGGGAAAACAATTTGTAAGAATGACCCAAAAATTATTAAACTATGTATACACTTTGATCCAGTAATACCATTATTAGGCCCATACCCCCAAGAAAACTGAAGAAAGAGGAAAAGAACCCAGATGCAAAAATATGTATGTATAACCATTTTTGTAGCGGCAAAAAACTGGAAACAAAGGGGGTGTTATTCTATTGGGGAACAACTAAACAAAGTACGGTACATAAACATATCTGAATATTATGATGTCATAAGAAATAACAAAGTGTACAGTTTCACAGAAACCTGGGAAGCCTTGCAAGAACTGATGCCAATTGAAGTATACAAAGCCAGGAGAATAATTTATACAGAAATAGTATTTTAAAGACTTTTTTTTAACTTAAGAGCTCTGATCAGCCAATGACCAGTGATGATTCCAGAAAACTGATGATGAAACATGCTTACCACCTCCTGAGAGAGGAGTGATGAATTCAAGGTGCAAAATCACACACACACACACGTATGCGTGTGTCTATTCATGTTTATATTTTTGACATAGATGGATATATATATATATGGATATATATACATATACATATGGATAATGTGAAACTTTCCTTCATGTTACTATGTATATTTGTAACAAGGATTTGTTTGTCTTTTTTCTGCCAATGGGAGGAAGAGAAAATTGATTTTTATTCATTGAAAAAAATAAATTTGATTTAACAACAACAACAAAAACCTGTAACTAAGGTCCTTTCCATCTCTGACTGGATGATCCTATGGTCTTATCAAGCTAGAATCACAGACTTTAAAACAACAAGAGACTTTACTGATCATTGATCCAAGCTCCTCATGTTATAGATTAGAAACCTAGAGAGGTTAAGTGAGTTGCCCCAAATCACAGGGTACAGAAATGGCAGAGTCCAGATTTGAAAACAGGCCTTCTGACTCCAGTTCCAGTACTTTCCACCAAACTACATCATCTCGCATCAAATGTTTCCACTTAAATTTCCTCAAGATCCATGATTTGGACTATGAACGGTGTGTGCTGTTACAGTGTCCAGAAGGAAAAGCGATTGTCTCAGCTAAGTAGAAGAAGGAATTTTTAGCAGATGACCAGGACTTTTTTTTTTCTCTTTATTAATTCAAACAATAGCAAAATTGTTGAGTCCTGCATTCAACTGAGCCTGGGCATGTGGCTTTCTTTGGACAATAGTGTTAAAAAGTTCAAGGAGATTTACCCAAAGGATGCTAAATAGTACATTAAAAGTAATTTCAATTAAACATCTTGATCCCTAAAAATTAGGAAAACTAATCTAATTCATACACACACACACATACACACACACACACACACACACACACACACACACACACACACACACAATGAAATGGCTATGTTTCTTTCCCACTAAGAAGTCTCATAAAAATTTGGGGAAAAATGTAATTTAAAATGATATGATATCTCCCTATAAGAAAAACTCAGATGGTCAAATGCTGGCTTCTGATTTCACAACATCATTATGGTCTCTGAAATAGTGACTAGTGTGCTTGTATTTATTACTATTTTTACTTTTTTTCTGAAGACCTAGAATATTTGTTTAAGAGTTAAGATGTCAGACTCCCAAAAGAATGACCCAAGAACACAATTGTCTAGAGCTAAAAATAGGATGCCCAAACGGGAAGGTAAAACCTCTACTTCCTTTTTTTTTTAAACAAATTTAAATATATCTCTGTTCACAAAATAGCTATCAGCTAGATATTTTCACATACCTCAGATAAGTGTCAATGTTTTTACTTAATCCTGGTAGAAGTGATACATAACTACCCCATACAAAGAAAATATCTTAAAGACACTGACATTTAAGGAATATTTCAAGACGAATTTAACTACCAAAATGTGTAGAAGAAACATATGCTGTCTCTTAAGAGCCATCAGGAACAGAACTAGGACAAGGTTCCTGGGCCTTTCCCCAAAGCACTGATATTTCTGGTGCAAGAGTTTAACACATACACTTCTTTATTTCATTCTCAGTGAAAGGGAGCAGTTACTTATCAAAGATGAAGGCACATGGAATGAGAGGTAGTATTCTTTTCCATTAAGGTTGGATATTATAAGAGGTTGGAATTAAAGTAGGATTTTCATGATAGGATTTTCCAGTTCCATTTCCTGATTAGGAAATATTCATGATTTCTCCCTGTGTTGTTCTTCTGGGACAATTTGTATCCCAAGATTACAGGGGAGGAAGACGTCAACCCTGACCTTGAATAAATAATATCAGAAGCATGTGATTTAGCAGGAAAAAATCCAGGATTGTCAGCACTGAGTTCATCAGTGGCATATGGAATTTTGTCTGCCTCCTTCCCTCCATTCATGAAGACCTGGGTTCAAATCTTGCCTCTGACACTTACTAGCTGGGTGATCATAGGTAAGTAAGCCTTCTGAACCTTCAAGTTTAGCCCTCCAACTTAACCTATTTCAACTTTTTCCTTTGAGAAATTCACCAATACAGCAGGTAGAAAGGCAAGGATCTGCATGTCATAGATGGTAACTCATGCATTAAAGAACCAAGTAGTAGTAGTAGGAGGAGGAGGAGTATAGTAGTAGTAGTAGTAGTAGTAGTAGTGGTAGTAGTAGTAGTAGTAGTAGTAGTAATATAGGATGAGGAGAAAGAGGAGGAGGAGGAGGAGAAGAGAGGGAGAGAGAGAGAGAGAGAGAGAGAGAGAGAGAGAGAGAGAGAGAGAGACAGAGAGAGACAGAGAGAGATAGAGACAGAGACAGAGAGAGAAACAGAGAGAGAGATGGGGAGAGTCATCCCTATAATAGAAAGTGATTCTCATCTAGAGAGACCTTTCATATTTTTTCTAAACAGTCCCTTCCCCTCTACCCCCGGCTCCTTCACTGGAGGCCCTCAGTCTCCAAGCTAATTGTAAGTCGAGTGGCAGCTTCCTTTGCCAGGCGATGTTGGGAATCACTGGCTCGCTAACTGGGGCGTGACTGCTTTTGGACCAGGTGCTCTGCTTCATCCCTATGAAACAAGAGCATTCATTTACATTCACTGGAGGAGGGCTGGAAGCCCAAACGTAACTTGCAAGCTGGGTGCCCGCTGCCTGTGGCTTCAGCCTACACGTCACAAGATTTGGATTCTGTCTCTGCATTTGGTATGCCAACCTCCTGCCTCCCCAACTCCCCAGCAGCAAATTCCCAGACTCATTTGCAAGTAGTTTTAAAAGGGAAAGTAGAGGGAGTAGTGAGGAGAAGAGACCATGTCCCATTTCCCAAATTCCTGTACTTGCCCCTAATTCACATCCTGCCTGTTATTCACTGTTCTCCATCCCACCCCCACCCCGGCGTTCTCGACATGAAGACTCACAGAGCTGTCTGTGAATGTGACCCCTTTTAAGAACTCGCCTTCCTGTAATTGGGGCCAGCAGGATGGAGTGTGTCCCTCCTTGTCGGTCAGGGGCTGTTGCCTTCCCTGTCCAACAGATTTGACGCTGTCCGTCTCAATCCCTGTGCCCACCCATCACTGTCACAAGTCTGGTTTTGATCTTTAAGGCACCTCTTCCCAAACTGGCCTTCAGACTCCCTGCTTTGAAAGAGAAGGAGGCCTGGTGCCTCCTTCAGATATTGTTAAGCTGAGGAGAAACATCAATCTTGCCTCTGACAGATGTGGCTTGTGACATAAGCAGGCTGTTGTCTCTGTGGGTATTAGCAGGGACAAACAGCCGGGAGGGACGAGGCCAGGCTGGGAGGCTCAGTGGCCCTGCCTCCGCAGGAAGCTCTCTGGACAGTGGCCTAGCCTGTTTTGCATTAAGGGGGAAATACAGTAAGATAATTTATCTGTGGTTAACAAACTGAAAACAATTTATCAGCTCAATAAGTTGTCACACAAAAAGAGCCAGTAAAGACGATTATTTGGGTCTGGATACAGGAACTGGATGGAACGCCCCTGGAATCAAGCTCTGTTTATTTAAAAACTGCTTTTTTTAAAAGTTGTTTTCAACCATTGAACTCTGTTACTTGCAATTATTTCAGTCCAATCTAATTCTCTCCTTAATAATAATTCACACATTTCTTATTGTATTTCTCTCTATTCATTCACACTTTTAAGCACCATTGATTTAGAGCTGGAAGCGGGCTTTGGGTTTATGTAGTCTAACCTCTTCCTCATTGCACAGAGCAGCAAACTGAGGTCCAAGGCAGTCACAAGATTATCCATTTAGAGTCTTGAGGGATCTTGGAGGCCACTGAGCCCAGCTAGCCTCAGAATGTGCCTCTTGGAATCCCTACCTTCTTTCAAGGCTCAGTGGGTATCACCTCCTATACTGTTGTCCTTTTCCCCACTGAAATTACCATTTTCGTTTGGCTTACATGTAATAATAGTGTGTGTGTTCAGTTACTTCAGTCATATCCAACTCTTTGTGACCCCATTTGGGGTGTTCTTGGCAAAGAAAATAGTGTGGTTTTACCATTTCCTACTCCAGCTTATTTTACAGATGAGGAAACTGAGGCAAACAGGGTTAAGTGACTTGCCCAGGGTCACACAGCTAATTAGTGTCTGAATCCAGATTTGAACTCTAGTCTTCCTGACTCCAGGCCCAGTGCTTTATCTACTGTGCTACCTACCTGCCTAATAATAGCAGCACACATTGATATGGGACTTTAAGATTTAAAGCATTTTACATACATCATCTATGACATGAGCTTCAAGCCTGATCTTTAACAGTAGCAAAGCATTTTTCTCCTGTCATCCTTGTCATGTGGGTCATAGTTTTATGATTATAACCATTTGAAGATGAGAAAATTGAGGTTTGAAGTGAGAAAATGTCTTACTTGTGGCCATATACAGTAATAATGGCTAATATTCATAAACTATTTGTGTTAATTCTTGAAAGAGCCCTGTAAAATAAATTCTATTATGTCCATATTACAGATAGGGAAACTGAGTGTCATAAGGATTAAGTAATGGGATCTCTTGGGTTCACCCAGGTAATAACTGAGAGTCAAGTCTTTCAAAATTGTCCTCAAAACTGTCATCAAATTTAAATAGGCCCAGAGAACTAAGGTCATTGATATACCTTCCTGATCACCTGGACACAAAATACTCAGGACCTGAGGGGCTAGAGCCCCTTTTCCTGGCTTATGATCACAGACCAGAGACACGAACAACACTAGGAAGCTGTGTTCAACTGAGTCGATACTTTGGCCTCCATAAACCTTTCCTTCCTTGATCTAAATGCCCTTCCCCACCTACGGCTGAGTCACTTTCTTTAAACTGCTGGATAGATCTTCAGTGTCTCACTTCATTCCAATTTTGAACCAGATTTACCATGGCAGTCTATGTCAATGACATCAGATACCTGGGGCATGCAGCTCACCAACCCAGTCATTCAACAAGCATTGTTAAGCACCTACTGTATGCCAGGCTTTGTGCTAAGTGCTGGGGATACAAAAGAAAGGCAAAGACGATCCCTGCCCTCAAGTAGCTCACAGTCTAATGGGGAAGACAATAAGCAAACAACTACGTAAAGACAAGAAGATATAAAGAATAAATGAGAGATAATTAACAGAGGAAAGGAACTAGCATGAAGTAACAATGGCAAAGTCTTATTGAAGATTGTGAGACTTTAGCTGAGCTTTGAAGGAAACCAGAGAATGTGAGAGATAAAGATGAGAAGGGGAGAGCATTCCAGGGATGGGGAGCAGCCAGAGAAGATGCCCACCATCCAGTAGGAGGAACTGCAAGGACACCAGTGTCATTGGACCATAGACCACATAGAGGTGAAAGGGCGAAAGGTGGAAGAAGACTGGAAAGGTCCACGATCTACTTCAGACACTAGCATTTAAGCTATCCAACATGGCTCTCCTCTCCATCATGCCTTGAACTCTGACACTTGGGTTGGTTGGTGAAGCATTAGCCATCTTCCTGCTTACATAGTCCCTGCCCCCACCTCTCCAGCACACTCACTGACTAAAGTTCAGCATCACAGCCTTTTGGGACCTCAGAGTAAAAGTGGCTACCATAGTTACACCTGCATCCTAAGCCTCCATGGCAACATTCCCAAATAGCGAAGAGAAGGTTGCCGTAAGAAGTCTCTCCTTACCTCCGGTCTCAATTCGCCCATTTGCTCCTGATTCTTCTCTTTGGCCTCTCCCAAAGGGCATTCTTTCAAAGGTTGGCAAACAGCTGTCCTGGCCTTCCTGAGTCTTCTCTTGCATGGCCTGACCATGCACAGTGCCTTCAACCACTCCTCATGTGTTGTAAACTTGAGCTGCTCTGTCATGCTACACGAGACTCCTACTTACACAAATGTCTTCCTAAGGATGCTTCTCAGAGAAGACAACATGGCCAGTGGGAATACCCATGCTGCCATGTATCACTGGGGTGACCTTGGGTAAGTCACAATCCCTCTGTGACCAAGTTGCCTCCTCTACCCAATGTAGGGATTAGGCCAAATGGTCTCTAAAGTCACTTCTGCCTCTAACCAATGACACTGCAATCTACAGATTCAGAAACGTGAATGAAGAACCAGGTCAATGATTTAATAAGCATATTTAATAATAATGATTTAATAAAAACCCACTGACTCTATGCCCTGCCTCCAATAGACTTTATTAAGCAGGAAGAATATAAGAACCACAGTGTCTCTCACGTGTCTCCCCTTCTCTCCACTCACAGTGTCACGGCCCTATTTTGGGCCTTTCTCACCACTCACTTGTCCCTTTGCGATCACCGTCTATCTGGGATTCCCAAATCCGGCCTCTCTTTTCACCAGTCTCTCCTCCACACTGTTGCCAGGTGCATGTTTCTAAAGCATCTGTCTGACTACGTTACTCCTTGACTCAAGAAGCCTCAGTGGCTCCCACATGTTGTTGGGATATTCCTCTGTCTGGCCTTCAAAGCCTCTGACAAGTTGGTTTCTAGCTATTTGTCCAGGCTGACTCTCTCCTACTACTTGCTACACTTGCTTCTCTAGCCAAACTGTCCGGAATAATCTCTTTGCTTGGAATCCCTAACTTCTTCCAGAGCTCAGTGAGTGACACCCTGTCGCGCTGCCCCTTCTTCCACTGAAATTTATTTTTATTTAGTTTCCACATATTGATCATACTAAAAATAATAGTTTTCACTTATACAGAACTTCAAGGATTGCAAAGCATTTTACATAGAGCCTCAGAACAGTGAGGGCTGCCCAGCCAGTAAATATCAGAGGTGGAATTCAGATTCAGATCTCTCTTACTTCATCACTCTCCACTACGCTGTACAGTCTCTCTATATTGATTCATCTCTTTGTACCTGTTTTATTTCGCTAGTTCAGTGTAAGCCCCCTCAGGGCAAGGTCAACTTTGTTTTTGTCTGTATGTTCCCAGTCACCTAGTGAGACATCTGACACATAGTAGACACTTAGTACATGCCACTTGAATTGAATTATAGGAGCACGTAGCTCCAGAAGAACAAACCTTTTTTTTAATCCAACAGCCAGAAGCTCAGGAGTCTATATCTTCCTGGCTTAGCAAGGACAAGGAAGGCGGACTTCTCTAGGCAACATCTAGGGAATTGGCTGGGGTGGGGGGGGGGTGAGCGGCTATTTGTTGGAGAAAGAAGTTTACAAATAGAAATATTCCATACTTAGATGAAATATATTTTTAAAATCCCAGCCCTGAGCTTCTTAAAGATGAGATCTTTTGCTCTGATCCTTTGTGGCTGGAAGGGGGAGGAAATATTGGCAATCACTCAATAAATCCGGGAAAGCATTGATGGCTAAGCCAGATAATTCTGGATGCAATCCATTCTGGAAGCCTAGACTGATTAATGACTTACTCGGCCCTGGTACATCTGTGCCTTTGCATGCTGGGTCATCACTTTTTTGTTGTTATTACTTAAAACTCTTCTGTGAGGTCATTTTCAATTAGCTCCACTCCACTTCTAAAAGAAACAGAGGCTGTTTAACGTGAAGGGTAAGCTCAGATGAGCACTGATTTTGCTCAGTCGATCATAGATTTAGGACTAGAATAGACTTGAGAGGTCACAGAGCCCAATTCCCTTTTCATACAGAGGAGGAAACTGAGGTTAGGGGAGGGAGGTTATGACTTGGCCAAGGCCACAGAGGTAGCTTGTGGTAGAGGTGGGTTTTCTGGCTGAAAACGGAACCTCTTCCCCACTTTGCCCTGCTGCAATCCCACGCAGACAATGGTCCGGGTCCTCTCATAATCAGAGGCTCACATCCTTTTTCCTTTCTCCTCAGACACTCCTCAGCATCCATCGCATCCCTGAGGATGCTGGTACGGCCCCTTCTCACAGACCCTGGTGCCCTCCTGTAGAGGCGGTTAATCAGGAGCAAGCCTGCTCTCTAACCCTCCCACCCACGGACAACTGGGAGACAGGGTCTCCACAGCCCTCCCCCCAGGGCAGCCCTGCTCCCTTCCAGCCCCACCTTATCATACTGATTCACTGTTGTCATTTAGCTTTGGAAAGGTGAAGTCACTTCTCAAGGCTTTACACAAACCAAGGGCGAAATTTTTTCTTTTCTTTTCTTTTTTTTTTAACAGAATCTGAGGGAGGCCCTGGCCCAGAGGAGAGAGTTCTGACTCTGGAGTTGGAGGGTTTGAGTCCAGATCCTGACTGCAGCTACCTAAGTGTGGGATGTTGGGTAAGTCATCGAAACTCCCTAAATTTCATTTTCTTCCTTTGAAAAGCAAGCAGATGAGTGGACCCCTAAGGGCCCTTCCACCGTGGGAAGGGATTGAGCATTTCTCTCTGCCATAACACCAGGGATGTTTGGGAGGGGAAGACTTCAGTCAGGAGCCTTGAAGGCTCAGCTAAGATCGCCCAGGGGCTGAGGACATGATTTAAAAAAAAAATTAATAACTGTACTTCTTTATAATAGATTTGTTTTGTGATCTCATGCATTGTGTTACTGCATTAAAAGCATCACTCCAGGAAGGGTTCCATGGGCTTCCCCAGACTGCCAAGGGGCTCTTAGATCCACAAAAGGTGAAGAGCCCCAGCTGTAGCCCTCACCCAAGCACAGGCCAGGGTCTGTAGCCTCTAAGGACAAGAGAGCTCCCCATACCACTGCAAAGCAGCAACTGCTCTGTCCCTGGTAGCCTTAGAGAATCACCTGGGAGCAACATCTCACAGCCAGTATTTATCATATTGGGGATTTGAACCCCAGACTTCCAAGCTCTAGAACCATGTCTATGTTCAATACCCCCACACTGCCATTCCTATCGAAGGCCTGGAAAAGCCAAAACGGACCATGAGTAATGGAGAAGCAGTGAGAAGTTGTGGGTAGAGCCTGGACTCACAGTCCAGAAGAGCTGAATATAAATCTTACCTCAGACCCTCACTAGCTGTGTGACTTTGGGCAAGTCATCCGACTTCTCTGGGCTTCAGTTTCCTTCTGTGTAAAATGGGGAAGCTGGACGCAATGATCTGTAATGTCTTTTACTCTAATTCTAAAGTCCTACGTCTTCAGCATCCTAGGCCATTACATATCACTCATTCTCAATGTGACCTGAGACTATACTTAAGGACCGATGCCTACAGGTCAGTGATATTGGCAAAGTAAGTTCAAATTAAACCGTACTTTGACAAACTCAAATCAGCATCCAATTAGGATTGGTTTCAGTTCAGGAAATATTCAATTCTATCAATATTTATTTTCCACTTACTCAGTAGTAAGCACTGAGGGAAGGATACTTATGTTTAGACAGATCTTTAAGACTTACAAAGTACCTTTTTTTTTTTTTGGTTAGGCAATGGGGTTAAGTGACTTGCCCAGGGTCACACAGCTAGTAAGTGTTAAGTGTGGATTTGAACTCAGGTCCTTCTGAATCCAGGGCCAGTGCTCTCTCCACTGTGCCACCTAGCGGCTCCTAAAAAGTACTTTTTCACCAACAACTCTGTAAGCTGAGAAGTCTTATCAACCCCATTTTACAGATGAGGTACTTCAGGCTCAGAGATTGTGTCTTGTCCTGGTAAGCATCAGAGACCACACCTAAAATTGAGTCCTTCTAGCTAGGGGTGCAGATCAATTTCCATTACATGAGTTTGCTGATCATTGCCCTCAGGAAGCATACCCACTTCATGGGGGAGATGACACACAGATACCAATAGCTGTAACTCAAAATCAAATCAAATATAAGGATAATCATGTAAGACCAGGGAAGGCTTCCTGAAGGAGGTAGACTTTGAAGTAGCCTTGAAAATAGGGGCCACTTGGGGGTGGGGTAGGAGGGAGGGCACTTCAGGCAAAGGGGAGAATCGCGCACCAGCCTTCTTCCTAACAACACAGAGCTGACCAGCAATCCTGCTCTACGTAGATGCTTTGTTGAAAATGTCCCTTGGTCATGAGTTTGGCCAGAGTAGCCGTCTCTCCTCTGTCGACCCTGATCAAGCAGAGGAGATTAAGCATTCAGTTAGAAAGTACTACCTTTTCATACCAAAGGACTCACGGGAACATTTATGGAAACTCATTCTGAGAAGCTCAGGGCTCACCCCACAGCGCGCATTCACGCTACCTCACTGTAGACTGACTGACTGTCACTTACAACTTACTGTTGACTTGTTGAATGAAACCTATTTCAGCCTGTCCCAATCTGAGGATTCCAGCAACTTCAACATAACAAATCAAAGGAGATGTTGCCTACAACATCAACTTCAGTTTCATGAAATTAAAGAATTTAGTGGTGGAAGGAACCTCTGAGATCACCTTGTCCAACCTTCATTTTACAGATGGTGGTTCTTAGGCTAAGGGAAGAGAGAGGTCTCCCCAGCTCCTGCAGTAGGTCAGCTGTAGAGCCAGATTAGAATCCAAGTCTCTGAATACTTAGTTCATGCCCTGTCCACCGTGCCACACTGCCTGACACCTGTTCTCTCCCTCAACCCTTTCCCTCATCATGTGATCACTTACATGAAGACTCTCCTCTTCAGGTCCTTGGCACCTCCTGCCTGACCTTCCAGTCTTTGCTCTCTACCACCCATCCTTCACACAAATGCCAAAACAATCTTCTTAAATCATGGGTCTGACCATGTCGACCCTCTGCTCAAAATCCTCCGTGGTCTCCTAAGACCTCTAAAATGGCATAGAAACTCCTCAGATTGCCCTGCTCCAACCTGCCCTTCACCTACCTCTCCCTTCGTGACCTCTACTTTTCGGCCACCCAACTGTTAGCCATCTGCACTAATCCATCGCCTTCTGCCGTATCTTTGCTGGCGCAACCTCCCTGTACCTAGTACACTGCTCCCTCTTCACCTCTGCCTTTTCAGATCCCTAGCTTCCTGTAAGGATTGGCTTGGCACAGGTAAAGCCTGGCACGTGAGGCCTTCTGTGATGTCCCTAGTTATTAGTGCTTTCCCCCTCCTGAAGTTACTTTAAATTTTCAGTGATAGGCATCTACTGATTCTGTAACCCTGGGCAAGTCACTTACATTCTCAGGGCTCTAGGCCAGGGCTTTTTTTTGGGGGGGAGGCAATTGAGGTTAAGTGACTTGCCCAGGGTCACACAGCTAGTAAGTGTCAAGTGTCTGGTCTGAGACGAAATTTGAACTCAGATCCTCCTGACTCTAGGGCTGAAGCTCTATCCACTGTGCCACCTAGCTGCCCCAGGCCAGGGCTTCTTAAACTCTTTCCACTCATGACCCCTTCAGTGCTTCTTAAATTGTGGGTTTGCAAACCCCATCTAGGTATCACTTCAAGACAGAGCAGCAGAGAAGATGCTGCATGCATTGGCAGAGGGAATTCCTCAACTGAGGGTTCCTTGTATCAATGCCATGGGAGATGGAATCCTTCTCCTCTTTCCTCTATTTATTTGTGTAGATCCTGTATCCCTCTGATAGAGCATGAGCTTTGGGCTTGGGGATTCATTGTGATGAGCAGCTCATTGTACCCATCAGGCTCTTAATAAATGGTTTGTTTTTCATCTGAATGATCCCCATCTGCATGGCTGACCGTTTTTCAGGGCTGTGATTGCTATCCAACTTTCCAAGGAAAGAATTGGTGGGGGAATCTCCAGGAACCTCCTGTAACAACCCAGATTGCAAACTAGCTGTGATTTAGGTGCCCAGTAAGGGCTAGTTAACTTGAATTTGGAGATAAGTCTTGGAGAATTGCCAGAAACTGAGAGATTAAGTGATTTGCCCCAGGGAGAAGCAGGATTTGAACTCAGGTCTTTCCAGCTCAAGTTCATCCCTCTCTCCTCTACAGCCCTCTGCCTCCTTACAAGGAGATGTTTCTCTTTGAAAGACATTTTTAAAGTGCTTGCTATTAGGAGTATGTGTGTGACTCGAGTCAAATCCACTTCAGTTCTCTGGCTTTTAGTCTCCTAATCTGTGAAAAGGGAGGGTTGCATGCAGAGACCTCAAAGGCCCCTTCTAGCTCCAAATCTATGGTCCCATAACCTTATCCTGGGGACCTGAGCCCTCGTGATAGGCACTGAGCATCCTAGCCCCAGGAAGGTGATTGCAGTCTTCTAATTTAAAAGCAGCTCAACACCCCACCCTGTCAGGGAATGCTGTGATCTCTTTACACACGTGGAGTTTTTAATCCTACAGGTTTCTAGGGATCTCTACTTAACAGGGCCTGAACTATTTCAAGGAAGGAAATGTTCTTGGGCAGGTTTTCCGATGTCAATCAAATTAGTTCTTAAAATGAAAATGAAAAGAGAAGGGGGGCCATTTTGAGGCTGGGGAGGCGCTCCCATCCCTTTAGGGCCCTCCCCTCAAGGACTTCTGCTTCCTTGACCCAACCCAAAGGTACCTTCGGCATCGTCCTCTCCGTTCAGGGGGCTGCTGCTGTTATTGGAAGACACTGAATCTTTCTCAGAATTCCTCCAACAAAAGAAAATTGAGGGTTGCTTTTCCCCCTGCTGCTGCTGCTGCCCTGATTTCTGATCTAGTCTTTCCACTAATTAAGCAGTCATTTCGTCCCTGACACTTTGAAGTTTCCCTCATTACCTGTCCTCTGTTAAGTCAACAAAAGGCTACATCTAAGGCAGCCGGGCACAGGCTGTCACTTTGGGGGCCGCCTAATTAAGTGTAATTACTTTATTTGGTGCCCAGGCTTCATACTTGTAACATTGCAACATTGCCTTGTAATAATTTAAATTGCCTGCATGCTGGGGGACTGTTTGACGCCAGCGCGGAGACGGTCCTGCTGTCACTGTGGGCCTGTCCAGCCGCCCGTCGAGAGGAGGCAAAAGTCCGGAGCAGGCCGTTTGTAGCTACCTACTCATTAGCTGCCCTCCAGGAGAGGCGGGCTATGGAACGCTCCTCCCGTCCTCTATCTCTCTGTCTCTGTCTCTGTCTCTCTCGCTATCTGTCCCTATCTCTCTGTGTGTCCCTGTGTCTCTGTCTGTCTCTGTCTCTTTCTCCGTCTTTCTGTCTCTGTCTCTCTCTCCCTCCCTCATCTCTGTCTCTCTGTCTCTGTCTCTCTCCCTCCCTCCCTCCCTCATCTCTGTCTCTCTATCTCTCTCTCTCCCTCCCTCATCTCTGTCTCCCTCCCTCCCTCCCTCATCTCTGTCTCTCTGTCTCTGTCTCTCTCTGTTTCTGTCTGTCTGTCTCTGTCTCTCTGTCTCTCTGTCTCTGTCTCTGTCTCTCTCTCCCTGCCTCCCTCACTGCCTCTCTCTGGTATTTCAATGCATAGGATGTA